AATTTAATGACCTTAGCATCGTCCAATCAGTAATCAACCTCATACATAGAGGGCAACTTACAAAAGAGCATCTCCAAAGTAATTCACAACCTCTGAACTGAATTTAGATTTACAAAAATATGTATTCCGAAATGAGAGTAAGCATCTTCATGTAATGTTTGAAACATTATTTATTATTTGAAAATACTTACTGGTATGATGCAATCTCCTTCCCAGAGATCCTTGCGGCCAGATCAATCTGCCACCACACATCGCCATTTTTTTATGAAATGTTACAAGACTTTTACTATGCCAATTATTTGCATATTTTTGTTATTAGAGGGTCTTGTGTAATTTATTCTACTAATAAACAATTTTTAAGATATTTAATTGACAGCTGATAATGAAAATTACAAGTATGAGTTTTGACCTGGCTCAATGTGCACTAATTACCACTGGTGACTCTCTGGATATTCCAATCAACTAAAAAATATCTAATTAAAGCTTGGTAATGTCTCTGTTTGTTCTTGTTGATCTGCGCAAGTCAAAGTTGTCATCTTTATTTATAAGAAGGGTGAAAATAGTTATAATTTTCAAAATAATTTGATCATGGAATAACCGTTACTAACTGACTTGCCAGGCGAAGAAATATAAACAAACTAATGCACTTTGTAGTACTGATGACTAAATCGTCCTACTGCCACACCATTGTAAATTGAGCTTCTCTCTTTGAAAACAGTCAGAATCTACAAATAATGCATGGCAATGTTTCGATGAGCATATTTGAAAGTACAGTAGCACCACTGTGACACATTGACCAATCAACTACGAGCATAAGATCACATGGTGGCAGCGATATATTCTAGAAATAGAACTCTGCCTGGGAGATTGGGTATGATGGTTACTGATGGAAAGTGAAAGCTGTAATTAAAGTGTGATGTGTACTTTGTATTGTACATGTCTTACATTTCTATGACTGGCACTGCCAATAACAACCAAATCCCACAGCAATGCTCTCACACTGCTATTCAATAGTTGGCACACTTCAGACTGAGTACTACCATCTACAGAATGAAAAAAAGACTATGAAATTAAAATAACAATCACCACACAAACAAGAAAGCTTGTTATATATCCCCAAGCATTGTGTTTGTCAATAAAGTTTGTCCCAGTGGCGCACTAAAATGCCTTTGAAGACACATTGGTTGAGAGTGTGGATTATAACAGCCAATGTTGATATAATGGGGCAAAAGCAGTACTGTATTTGATCTTAGAAGCGCATCTCTAATGGGAGTGCATATATAACAAAAATTGCACTGGCAATATGCTGAATCATTTAATATTAATTATTTACAGGTGTTTAAGGGTGTTTTGGACATGATCTATGTTATAAAACACCTATTAGACAACAGCTTATGACACTATAAATCCCAAATTTTCTGGCATGACACAGCCCATCGTGGAAAACAAAAGGTTATGCCATCATTGGGCCATTCCAGTTTATATCTGCACCCTCCCTGTTGATGAGCTTGTGTGTTTACTTCATACAGGGTATAATTTCCATGGGTGTATAAGTCATACAAAGTTTTATTTCTAAATCACCATTCACCATACAATAATGAAAATCCAAAACTATAGTTATACTTATGGTGTTGATGAGTTCCATTGTGCCACCATAC